GCCCTGCCCTGCCCGCCGGGCCGCCCCCGCCACACGCGGGATTTGGGGCCGAAGGCGTTGCCTTTCCCTGCCCCCGAGCGCTGACAGCCTGCAAGGCGCCCTGGCGCGCCCTGTGCACGGGTAAAACTGACCACCCCCACCCCCCCTCGGGTTCCGGAGGGGACAAGGCGTTACCGGGCGCGGTGAGAAGCGTCACGTCCGTGCACAGGTTGCGTCGAAGCTGTGTGAGTTACACCCGCGTCACCGCTGAAGCAGTGACCTCACCGGAGGGCCTGGGACAAGCGGGAGGCCCGAGGAAGCGGGCTGGAGAACGTCCAGCCCTGGGCGGATCGCAGGGGCGCGAGTGACGGCTCACGGGCTGGGGGCTGGGGACGCGGCTGTCGCCTGCCCTGCCTGAGGCCCGGGGGCCTGCTCAGCCCCTCGGGGCCTTTTGATGGGGGGGGAAGGCTGTAGGTGATTCCCGTTCTCGTCCCATGGTGATACGAACACGAGCTCTTGTGCCGCAGGACTCGCGTCATGTTGCTGCCCCTTTTTTTCTGCACGCTTTGCTGAGCGCTGGACGGCGTCCATGCGTTTTGGCCTGTATGGTGGTGTGACGGGGCTCTGGGTGGAAGCGGGAAAGCTCACGAGCCTTTCGGAGGTGGGGATTCTCGAGGGGACGCGTCTGCCTCAGTTCACGCGAGGCTGGGTTCATATCTTGAAGGTGCACGGCTGTAAAAGCTAGAGATGTACTCCTTTAAAATGGAAGAAGAGGTAGAGGAACCATGTGAAAAGAGGCATTGTTCTGCTGCTACCCGGAGCACGGGGCCTCTCTGGTTTTGGATTACCGGCGTACTGCACGACTTGCAGTTTGGAGGGGTTAGAGGGAGACGGCTGAGTGACTGCACTCCTCGTCGCTAAAGTCTGGGAGCAAATGAAATGGATGGGAGATGGCTGTGAGGATATAACAACAGCGAGAAGGTGACACAAGTTTACGCAGAAGTTTAGGAAAGCAGTTTGGAGCTATTTAATTGGCATTAGCGTTGCAAAATATCAGGGGGCAGGGTCAGAACTGACCAGTTTGAGCTACAGGATACATTCCGGCTATAGCAATTCCATCACTTCCCACTGTGTAAGACCCTTCTTTCCTTCACACAGTCCCTTTCCGAAAAACCTGCTTCCATCACAGCAAGGGACAAATAATCAGAATGACAGTTTTATTGCCATCTAAAATTGCCAAGAAGTGACAAAAAGCATCCAGTAAACCAGCCATTTATTTTCCACAGCAGCTTTAACACTCAGAATATATGAATGTTATGTTAGCAGTATCATCTCTCTTGTAATCAGCCTCATTCATGAAGACACATAGGCTGCTTTCAGAAAAAGATCACACCATAAATCACTGAAACTGTGCTTCCTTCAGATAATATGTGAGCTGACCCTTTCGACCAATAATATATTATTAACATATTTTTATTACCCCTTTGGGTGCACCAGCTGGATCTGTAAGAAGGCTTTTGCCACATCGCTGCTACTTCACTGTTTGTTCACATGAATGTATGCAGAATAAAGGCAGAATCCAAAATTCTGTGTTCCCAGTAATCCTGGGTAAATAATTTCATAGGTGTATTACTAATACAGTGATGAAACTCGGCTAAATCCTGAGTCTGAGATGTTTTCTTCACAGGAAATTTATGAGACTAATAGTTTTGTTAAGTACTGTGGGATCCTCCACTGGATTATGCTAGGGAAAGACACAGGATAGAGATTAAAAGCTTTTTCCTTCCACTGTCCACGTAACAAGAGATTTCCAAGTGCTCATTTTACTTCCCAGCATAAACCCCCTCTGACGCTGCCTAACATCACCTCAAACCACACGTGTTTAACAGGAGATAAGGATGAAGTCAGCCCACTGACTGTCAGCTATGGGAACGAGACAGGCTATGGCAGGAGGTTATCCTAGTTTGTACAAAAATACCCTGCGCTGGTATGTTAATCAGTTCTGACAGCAGAACGGAACGGTGCATCCCTTATGTATCTATACGTTACATCCCATACATATCTATATCTTCGTTGAAATGCCTAGAATAAAAACCTTGAAATTAGGTAATGTTTAAAGGAAATGTGTCAGAGAGAGTCATTTGAAAGTAGTTCTCTGCAGTTCTTTGTGCAACTGAGCTCATAAAAAAATGTCACTCAAGCTTGTGCATTAGTGCTATTCTTGTTAATCTCAAGGGTCTCCCTGTCGTGATAACAAAAATCCAGAACTTTTCCTGATGTTCCCCGGAGTATTTGAGGGTCCCTGCTCTCCGTGGGCTGTATTCCTGCAGGTAACAGATCCCATATACAGGTTATAATTGAATAATCCCTTGACCCTCCAGAATCTTTCAGCCAGGTGAAGGGAACTGCAAGTTGGAATGACTGGGTCATAGAACCATAGAATAGTTTGGGTTGGAAGGGACCTCTAAAGCTCATATAGTCCAACCCCCCTGCCGTGGGCAGGGACATCTTCAACTAGATCAGGTTGCTCAGAGCCCCGTCCAACCTGACCTGGAATGTTTCCAGGGATGGGGCATCCACCACCTCTCTGGGCAACCTGTGCCAGTGCTTCACCACCCCCAGCGTAAAAAATTTCTTCCTTATATCTAGTCTGAATCTACCCCCCTTTAGTTTAAAGCCATTCCCCCTTGTCCTGTCGCAACAGGCCCTGCTCAAAACTCTGCCACCATCTTTTTTATAAGCCCCCTTTAAGTACCGATAGGGTCAAACCAACTGTAAAAATTAAAAAAAATCATATGTAGTCTTGTGTTTCTACAGTAGTGTTGCCTTGACCCATCTACAGGTCTAAACATCTTGCAGTGCTCTGGCCTGCATAAACTTCCAAATTTTGAGGTATCGGCATCAGCTTCCTAATCTAACCCTCCTAATTATTGGACTTCTGTAAAGTGTTTGGCTTTAAACAGTATTTATAACTGTGCTTTGATTAGCTCTCCAGAGCATAAAGAATTACAGAGTTTTCTTTAGGGACAACTGCTTTTCCAGCTGTTTAGTTCAGGCTTTGTGTTGAG